TTTTTTTTTCCTGCTCCCCCCAGTTTTAAAATATATATAATTTTTTTTTTTTGAGAATCTTTATATAAAAAGATTTTTTGCGTGTTTTGTCATAGGAATTCTAAAGTCCTGATTCCATTTTAGTAAACAAAACTCAAATTCAGCATTGCTGGAGTTGCATTGCCATAGCCTGTTTCTTGTTTACTGAAAGATGCAGTGTGAAAATACAAAATCCAAGTAACAGCTGTACTTGAAACTTTTCTGTTGTTTAAAACAATTCTAGGTATTTCTTCTAAATCTTCTGTTATACAACAAAGTAGTAATATTTTTAAATGTGTTGACTGGATTGTAAGTGTTTGAATGCAGGAAGACCAAACCCAACAAGTTTTCCAGCACACTAGTTCTGCTAAACTCATGCATTCTTTTCAAACCACTTAGTATGTCTTCACCATCATACTGCACTTCTTTTAATTTGGAGGCTTCCCTTTCTGTCAAGAGCGCTCTAGGACACAAAGAAATGTAGTAGATCAGATGGCTGTACAGTTAGCAAGCTTGAGGACTGCTCTGACAAGAGTGTTTCTGGCCAGGCTGCAATATTTATGGCCCTTTTCAACCATGGGTTGAGCTTTTTTGCTGTCAACCTCTAGAGTGTTGAGGGGTACAAGCTACTGTACAGGGATCTCACGTTTGAAAAAACAGATTATAGTTCAAGGGTCAACCACTCCTTCTAAAAGTGGCTATGCTGACATTACTGAAAATTTGTACATCAATCTCCCCTTAGAATCTCTATATATTATTGTCACCAACCATTACAATGGGTTCAGTTCCTCTTGAAACAGCCAGCCAGATTACTACATAAATGGTTAAAATAACAGGAAAGGGAACTTTTTGTTCTTTTATCTGTGTTGTCTTGTTGGTCAGACAGCAGATTTGATTAGATTGGAAGTCACGTGCTGTTGGAGTCCATCAGGAGCCAGCACTCATCCCTTGTGTCATCTTGCCCTATTCAGTTTGATTTTGTTATTTATCATCTTGAACAAATGAATGTTAGACATCATCACCTGTGGTTCTTCCGTGTATCTCTACCATTTTCCCTAGCCTACTGTAAAAGTGATCATGTTGCAAAAAGTGATGCACTGGCTTATTCTACAAGCCAGATAAGAGGATGACAAGGAGTTCATGACAAGGCTTCTACTTTTGATATTTCCTTACCTTGGGTTGGGGGGAGGAAAGGTGTTTCTCCTTGAGGAGAGTGAACAAATATACAGGCAGTCTCAAAGTCAGGATGACAATGCTTGGCTCCATCATTCAATACTTCAGGTTTGAGACTTCACGTCAAGAGCCATGAAGCAGAGCTTAAACTCATACATGTAGCAATCCATCTTGTTCAAAGTACTTGTACAGAGTACTTTAGATTCATGGTGCAGCTCAATGGGCAGTTAGTACATACAAAAAAAGCTATGAAATGTATATATTTGCAGGGCAACTGTTTTTGGCTCAGTAATTTTTATAATACAACAAGAAAAGGTAGGCAAGACCCTTAAAAATAAAAGCTGATGCATGAACTCTGTCTCATCTGACTCTTGCCAAATGAATTCAGGGTGCAATCACAGATGACATTTCAAAATGATTTTTAGAAGTGATACAGGTGTGATAACTACCAGAGGATTCATGCCACATGTCTGTTTGTAAGCATTGCAAAACCCATGCCCGTCTATTCAGAAATAACTTCAGAAGTGTAGCAAATGAAGGAGTTGATTAGAATAGTTCCTTGGTCTGTTCAGTAGTAAGTAGTTCCAATACATTGGCTTAGGGTTTAGCTGCACTGTCCCTAATTTATCTCTAGTATCTGGGTTAGTGAGATGAGATGGAAAAAATGAATCCTAATTTCTTTTAGTATTCAGTACTGCAACAAGACTGTAGAGTAGCCAACAAAAAGCATCTGTTCTAATCAGCTTTCATGAGTTCTAATTCTGCAGCCATTGCTACTTATGTATCTAAGATTTGTCCATGTGTATTGATTGCACTTTATAGCCAGTGTTCTGTTTAAAAGCAGCAGTGGAGATACTGAAATTTCAGTGCTACAGTACTATGTATGATTCTTTTCTATAAAGGAATACAGAATTCTAAAATTGTGCTGATGTTACAAACCTGTTGAAATCTGAATGGAAATTTCTGTTTTATTGCAGATGAACCTACACGGTCCCTGAGTGGTCTCATCTTGAAGAATAATGTGAAAGCTCATTTTCACAACTTTCCCAACGGGGTAACTGATTTCATTAAAAGTGAATGTCTAAACAACATTGGTGATTCTTCCCCACTAATTAGAGCCACTGTAGGTGAGTTTCTGGATATATTTCTTCATAATTTGTTTCTCTCTTCAGATTACATGCATTTCTGTCTTATCTCATAGTAGTGGGAACATGAATAGAGTCTGTAGCTTCAGCTTTTCAAGAGAGTGTTCTGATCATGAAAACTAAACCAAAATGATGATATCAAACAGATGAGACAAGTGCACGTTAATAGCATATCTACATGTATATATAATATATTTTTGATTTTTTTTGTACACTTTTGACTTAAAAGCTGAATTGGAAATTCCAAAATGTCTTTTCATTTATAAGTTAGAAGTACTATTTGTTCAGGTATGTTAAAAATGTAAAAACTGCTTCCAGTATTTGTACCTAAAGATGGAATGAGATTAATGACAAGTCATATCAAACTTGCATTTCAGCCTTGTATTTGTAGCAAGAAAACTTTTTATGTAACTGTGTGTCTGTGTCTTTTCTGCTGTAATGAATTGTATTATGATAGAATCCAAATGGCTACGTCATTGCACTATTGCAGTATCTGCTTTTCAAATTAGTGGAAAGTGACAGTTTTCTGTTCTACTTCTAGTCAAAAAGGACAACTGATGAATTGATGAGGATTGGAACATAAACAGTATGGTCAAGTTGTTAAGGATATGATTCCTTTTTTGTAGTTTTAACTTTGTTAGGCTTTAATTTTTAAATATATTCAACTTTTGCTTTTCATCTAATTGTAGTCCAAATAGTTAACCTTTTTGGCTACATGCAACCCTCTTTCCTAGGTTAGATTGTGTAGAGTATCATGGTTTCTGTCAGAACTGGTGGTTTTGTGTTTACCCAAATTTATATAATCTCTTAGCAGACTACCAGTTGGCTAAGATAGTGTGTTTTCCAAACTTTTGATACCTGAGGAACACTTTTTTTGGATTTAAATTGGCAGCATGCTCCACTCTTACACCTGAAAAGGGGCGGGGGGGAGTTTCCAAAACACAATGTATTCCGATCCCCTGCCAGAGGAAATCATCAGTGCTGAGATGTACTGTTAAAAAATTACACCAGGTAAGTATATCCTCTTTAAGCCAAAAAAATTGTCTCTGAACCTATGGTTGTCAACCTTTTTAGCCTCTAGGTAACCCTCCATAGCTCTTCTAAATTTCACAGCACCCCAGTTCAAAATCACTGAAGTTGATGTAAATTCAGAAGAGATATGGAAGGGGGGAACCTTTGAGGCTAATAAAGTTCAAAATTGCTGATCTTTGTGGTACTACTTAAGGGCAGCAGGGGTGGGATCTCTCTCTCTGTTGTGCCCTGCTCTTTGTCCTTTCTCTTCCCCTTCCTGACCCCAGGCAGGGACAGCAGTACCTGGAGGAGCAACTGTATGTGCTGCTGGAGTTGCTGGGGCATGTGCATAGTGATTGGTTGAGAGAAGAGAGCATTTGTCTTCTCACAAGAGGATCTTACAGCACCCTTGTGTGCCCTGGCACACCCTTTGGGAATCTCTAGGCTAAGCAAAACATATTGGGTATACTCAGCCAATGGTCTTATTCTTTGACCCTTCTTGTTCCTTTCTGTATGAATCCTCTTGTCGTATTTGGTGCAAGTTGCCTTCTCATGACTAAAACAGTTGCAAGAGATTCAGGCTGTCAGAAATACTGCAGTGGTGGAACACTTCTTCACCTTTTTGATACTTGTCATGTCTGGCAAATTGATTAGGTAAAGGATAAAATCAGCCAAGGATTAATACCTAACAATAGAGACATCTGGTGTATGTCAGCATTTTTTTCCAGCAGTCTTAAAACCCAGCTGGGATGTATCCTGTTTCAACCAAGATTTTCTCCTTCTTTGCATGAATCTGTCAACAAATTCATCTTGATCTTCTCTACTTTTACTGTTTCCGTTGGTGGGAACTGAATTAGTGTGGATGACTCTGGATAGAAAATCAACTCAAATGGATTTCTTGGCATAAGTTTTCAGTCGCTAAGCTGTGATGGCCTGATGTACTTGTGCTGCCTGCTGCAAACCCTTATAGTATTGTTACTAAATAAATAACACTGCAGAGCAACTAGTCGAAAGGCCTAGTTATAATCGTTGTCCATCAGAACACTCAGACAGTCAAGTTACTATGGATGCTTAAGAGTCTTTACAAGTTATATTGTAGGCAGGTGTTGATATATGGTACGTTATTTACCTGGCTTACAGTAACCCTCCTGGATACGTATGAGACTGTTACAATATTGGTTGGCTCAAGAGCATGTCTCAAAGATGGACAAATTGAAAAGAAGGCTAACCATTTAATACTGTATTCGCTGGTGGGAAATCAAAGGTAGCATACAAAAGGGAATAAGCCTTCCCTTGATGCCCACTGCTGTGATCACAGACGATTTACGCTGGGGAAGGTGTTACTGTTTAGGAGCCAAATCTCTGCACCAGCCATTTGGAATTTAGGACAGTTCGCTAGGCCCAGATTTTTTCCTGTTACTTTGCCAAGTGGACTGGGTCTTGATGGACAACCCTACTGCCATGTATTACATAAATAGGGGAGGGTATATGTCTGATCAAAAGCAGAAATTGACAGTGGTATCAACCATGAGGTCATTATCATACTTGCGTCTTTTGGGGGAGATCTGCTTGCAAGCATATCTGGCAAAACCAACTTGAATGTCACTGAAACATTAATAGTGGACTGTGTTCAAGAGATGAGAAACGTGAATACGTATCTCTTTAACTTTCAGGAGGGGGTAAGAAAACTGAAATACCCCTTGACAAAAACAAGCAGAGAGTCCTTGTTGGATGTATTTTTTTTCTATTTTTTTTTTTGTTCCATACCGGATCTCATGCATCCAATATACCTTCTACCTAGCCATATTTACTGTCAGAGTACCTAGAGAAAACTGAGACACAGTGCAATAAGTCCTTCAGTGATCTCAAAATGGTTGAGAGAGTCCTGGGAAGTGGATTTCTCTTTAGGAGCTTCTTTTCCACCTGCACTGCATTTAGTCTCATCGTTTCAGAGGTGTAGGGAGATCCTTTGTAGACCTAGGCATACTCCACCCATCTTCCTGGATGATCCAAGAGTGGTCCAGGAATAGGAATCTTAGGACAGACCATAATCCATGCATATTGAATGACTATTTTTATTAGGGTTTGTTGCTGTTTTCTCTAAAAAATGTATCTGGCTGGTCTTGGAAAACAGCTGGCAAAATTGGAACTTTTCTTTCCTCCTTGAGTGACTAGATTCTTGAAGGCCTCCCAATTCAGTGGTCACCAACCAGTGGATCTTGATGTACCAGTAGATCTTGGAGGCTCTTGGAGTCTATCCAAAGCTGGGGTGGGGGCCTAAGTGGCCCTGTGCACGCATGCGCATGCCCCAGCCCAGCAGGTGGTCTATGGGGGAGAGAATGGGCGGGTTCTAGATGGAGGCCCCCACAGTGAGGGACAGTGCTGCAGAGGCAGGAGCAGGGGTAAATTGAGTGGGGTCCTGGCTGGGTGGGACTTACCTGCTAAGGAGGCGTGCCCCCAAATAATTTTTTCTCCCTCTCTCTCGATCTGCCCCCCTCTCTTTCACTCCCCACAGACTTACCTGCTGGACTGGGGGTGGGGCATAGCAGAAGCCCATGGTAAATCGTAGGTTGCTTTTAAATGTTTAAATGCCAAAAGTGATTTCCTACCTTAAAAAGGTTGGAGACCACTCTCCTAATCGTTGTTTCATTCCTGACGCCTTTTCTGGGGTCTAAATTTGGTGTTCACCAATTTGGATTCTCCTTAGGACAGCATTCATGGTCAGTGAGAAGAATTTTTTTTTTTTTTGAACATGGGCTCCAATAGCCATTCCTTCTTCCTATACTGCAGTGTAGTAAGCAAACTGGTATTGACATTTCTTAAGCTTCTTGCCTAAATCTGTCAGGTTTTTTGGGCTGTTTTTTTAAGGGTATTTCAACCCAGGCCAACGCATTTCTGATCTATGGGAAGTACATGCTTTGGATGTTTAAAAGAGCCCTATTAATTTTTTCTTATCCAGAAAGTAAAACCTCTTAATCTGGTAGGCTCTTTGAATTCTCCTTGGTATCCTAATCAAGTTGGCATATAGGAAAAGACTTGCATAGAGTTTGAGTGTCCGAAGAGTTAAGGACTCAGTGAACAAGAAGCCATCCAGCTTTTCAGGAATAGTGTTCTATAGATGAGCAGTTTGAAGTTTGGGGCAGACTTTTTCCAATCTCTACTCTGAAGTTAGTATTGCTTTCTTCATTTCACTAAGAACTCTTTGCTCAGGAGGAGGAAGGGCAGTGGAAATATTGGCTGCTGATGAAAGTTTCCGTGAACTGTGCTCTGAGCTGTATTGAAGTTCCCACTAAGGAGAGAGTTTGGCAGAGGTGGGGCAGGGAGAAGCTTTAGAGACTGTAGAAGAAGGTTGTGACATTGCTAAGAAGATGCTTTGGGAGGAGTTGGGGGGGTGGGTGGGGAAGTCAGGAAGAAGGGATGGATCTGAGAAATGAAGTGGGGACAGTTTGAGGCTGTAGCAGTCATTTTGTTGGTTAAGCTCTTGGGTTTGAAGCTCCAAATATATAAGGTAGGGAGTATTCCATATGCATTGGTAGCATAGCTTTACATGCAAGTAATA